AGAACCTGTCACAAGAAGGAGGAGGAGTAAGAGGAGACCAGCACTGATCCATGGGTGTAAATATAAATATTCAGAAGGAGGTCTGACGATGTGTCCATTTAACAAAACAACAGGAGTATATAGTGGTATTTGCTCTGCCCATGACCTTGGACTGTATGGCCCAAAGGAGGCTGTGCTTCCTGCCGTTGTACATGACCTCTTATAAGGAGTTGGAGAAGGGTCACATGCCCCTTTTCCCTGCTCCTGCCTGCAAGGTGGATTTGCTCCTGGTCAGATCAGAGGATGACTTCAGCTGTTCACTCCATTCTGTATTCGTGAATGTATTTCCTCAATTTATATCTTAATAAATTCTGTTATCCATTTAATAGACTGACTTGGATTGATCATAGTAGTAGTAGATTCCTCAATAGGGCCTATGATCTCCCCAGCCATAGGCTTTTGACCAGCATTACAGCACCAGGCATGAATTCCCACCTGTGGACCAGGCCTTAAATCCAACCAGAAAGTGGTTGGTTCCCTTCACAACAGTCAAGTCTCTATTGCAACAGTGAGCACATATTGCCTGGTGGGTTGGTGTTGTAACCTCCAGGGTCTGTACCTGGATGGGACCATTGATGATCCCCCTGTTCCTCACAGCTGTGTGCATTGCACTTCCTGGCACTATGAGAGCTAGCCAGCAGGGAAGAAGCCTCCAGATCAGTTGCAGCTTGATTTTTCTGTGTCCTGCTCACAAAAGTGTCTTATCTTCAGGGTAGAGTCTTCCCATGTAGTTCCAGTGGGCAGCATAAGCAACGGGGACCTCCTGTGCTGTTTGGGGAGTGTCTGGAGTTTCCCTGACCAACAGGTCGTAGGGGAGGATCCCACACCTACACTGAGGGTTCCAGCATCTTAGGGAGTGATAGTCATTCGGTGCTTCCCACTGAAAAGTTGAGCATTTACAAATGGGCTTACAACATTTAAAAATGGGCTTGCAACATTGATCTTTCTGGACAAGAGTGTCCTGGCATGAGAAAGTGTGCCAATAAAGATGGTGGGATTTTAATGGCATGCTAATGAATACATCAAGCCATGGGGTGTGGATGGTTTTGTTCTGGGATCTACTCTTTGAGCCCTTCCTTCTGGATTCTGGGGAAAAGCCTCATTAAGAAAGAGATTTCTTCTGTCAGGTGTGGCGAGCCCATCTGTCAGGGCTCAGGAGGCGAAGGTGGGAGGATGGACCATCTAGGTGACAGACAATCGTAAGACTGTATCCCAAACAAACATATAAACACAACAACAAAGTAAAACAAGGGGCTGAAGAGATGGCTCAGTGGTTAGGAGCATGTGTTACTCTCTCAGAGGGTCTGAGTTCGATTCCTAGCACCCATAGTGTCTTAAAACCATCTGTAACTCCAGTTCCAGGGCATCCAAGTACTTCTGACCTCTGCAGGCACCAGGCATGCATATGACACACTTACATACATCAGGAAAAATACTCATACACATACAATAAAAAATAAAATCTAAATAAAAAATTTTTAAATTAAGAAAGGTTTCAAGGGGCTGAAGAGCATGTGTTGCTCTTGCAGAGAATCTGGGTTTGATTCCCAACGCACACATGATGGATCACAACCATTCATTACTCTGATTTCAGGGGATCCACATGCACATGGTGCACACACATACAGGCAAAATACCCATATACATAAAATAAATACATCTAAAAATTAAAAGATAAAGAGTTTTTATCTGTCTCCAAGCAGATCCTCTCTCAGCGATCGTCTCTATCCTTCAGAGGAGTCTCCGTGCCTTGCCTCCTCACCGTGAATGGGAATCCTCATCTCTCCAGGAGGATCAGTAGGTTGGTCTGATTGATGTAAAGTGGCAGTGCTGTTATTGGAGTAAGCAATCACTTTCCGATTGGATCTGGAGCCCACACCACAGGGGGAATTCACCCCTGGTTCTGTAAACTTGGTCAAAAGCCCATGGCTGAGGAGGTCACAGGCCCTGGTGGGGAAGTGACAGCTGCTGTTTTGCTAAGTGGATGTGATGCACCTATCATTGCCTTCTAAATAATTATATTTACCCTCGTAGACCCGTACTGTTGCCTGCTTTGATCAAAGAACTTCTTTTGGTAATGGGCAGTGGTAACTGAAGAGACTTGAAACTGGTCAAAATACTGAGAACAAGAGACTCTGTCACCTGCTCCAGTGCTCAGAGAGCATCAGTGAAGAGAGGCCAGAAAGACACAAAAGCCAGAGGACTCTGCGGTGGTGTAGAGTGCTGTCTTTCATCCGTGAGATGGCCATGGTGTTCTTGAATTCATAGCAACTGTGATTTCCTGCACAAGACATGCATGAGACTGTGTCTGACAACATCAGACATGGAGGGGGGAAGGGCTCATGAGATCACCATTCCTTAGGATTTATACAAGAGAGGGAGAGACATTTTCTTCACTGGGATAGCTGAAATGGGGGTAACTGGTGAGATGTACATGATCCTGTAAATAACCTCTCACCCACAATTCTGTAGGCAAGTCTGATGAAACTAATTGGAGGGGGGGCGGGGGGAGAGAGAGAGAGAGAGAGAGAGAGAGAGAGAGAGAGAGAGAGAGAGAGAGAGAAGTATAAAGGAACAGTTAGGAAGAAGGGGTCTGTGTGGTGTGAGTGGGAGAGGGACAAGAGGGAATAATGGGGGTGAATATGATTAAAATCCACTATGCGCATGTACGGATGTCATAACCAACTGTATTACTGTGTTTGAAACGTGCTAATGCGGAACCATATGTGAGACCACAATGTGCTGGTGTGGGTGGTTTGTGCTTGTGGATTGGTATGTGATCTATCTATCTAGTCAGGTCCCAGACCTCACATTGGTCTAGTTATTCACACACAGGTGCAGTTGGAGCCCTCCTGCTGACTTACATAGGAAGGGCATCTCTGTATGAAGAGGGTAGCCATATACACATTCTCATCTCTCTGTCATTAGGGCTGGCAGCCACAGTTGACTGTGGGTTTTTCTTCTTTTCCTTTTTAAAAAAATCGAAACAAGTTCTTACTGTGTAGCTGAAGCTGGCTTCTAACTCACCATCCTCCGGTTTCCAACTCCTGGAGCTTAGATGACAGCCACACCTGGCTTCTTATATGTTCTGACATATCATTCTGCTTAGACATTGGGACTGAGGCAGGAGAATGAAATTTCCCCCAAGCTTTCAGGTTCCAGCATCGTTTGCCAGGGAAGCCCCACGCTTGGGAGAGCTGCGATTTTTCTGTTTTCTGATTCTATACGCCCGCTCACG